CTTTTCCCATAGTTTGGTCGTACTCGTTAAAATATTATAATCGGAGACCAAAATCCAAATTATCGACAATCGGCACGCCAATTGACGACATCTTAAAGTGCCTACCAACTATAATAATATATCAATTGTACGTACCGTTAATATCATCGTATAATGCAATCCGACAGACCACAGACGGTCATCTTATGCGCGTGTTGCTCCAACCATGGTATACGCTTACCGCATACGGACTCGGCCAAGTGATTAATAACAATGATAATCCAACAAACAGACGAAAAAAACAATATCACATTAAACCTAATAGTACCTACCTACCTACCGCTTTATTACTGTGTACTACTACGACTATTATTATACGAAGATTCAGTGGGCACCTGCAGGTGTATATACTTATACGGTTTCTCTTTCGTACAGCATAATAATATAATACAATATATATAATAATGCAACACGTGTGTTATGAGACCGCAGCCGCCGACCAGCGAGATGTTATCTACCCGATTTTTTTTCGACTTTTTCGAAAAAAAAATGAAAAAAAACCACCACGCTCTCGATGGGAATACATTATAATATTATGTATAAATTATATTAATTAAAATAATCTAGAATCCCCCGGGTCGGCCCACGCTTTTTTCACCTATTACAATAAATAACTATTAAAACATCCGCGTCCGGGTTAAACGTGAGGGCGTCAGAACGGTGTGGGTGTCGCGTGTGTAGTGGTTTTTTTCCTTCATATTTTTCTCCTCTCCTCGCGCCGAACGGAGGTAGGTACCAGCTATGTATATATGTATACTGTATATAATATATTGTATTATAATACGCGCTCACACAAAATGCGTGTAGTATTTAGTATAGGTATACCTATATAATATAATACTAATATTATATAGTGATTTTTACCACGACGACGATAATAATTATCGCAGCGGGTCCTATCATAGTGAGCGGGACTGACGAAAATCTGGACTCAACTCGGACGGGTACAAAAATAACGAGCCGTCAAATAGACGACCGAGTTTAGACGATTTCCAAGTCTCCAGTAGTGTGTGTACTGTGTATACATAACAGTTATTTTATCGTTAATACCGCTGCAGTCGACGATATCTTAGAAAAACGAGAAATTCTTAATTTTCATTGACAATAACTGGGGATCTCCAAGATCTTAGAAAGATGTAAAATACACAGTTTGTAATACAAAAAATAAAATTAATTAAAAAAATACCATATAGTATTTCTTAAGATATAATATAGCCTGTAGGTAAAATATTTATTACGATGGATGAATAACTATGTGTGCATTATTCAGTTGTAAAAGGAAACGCCGAATAATCGTATTAAAAAAAGTTGAATGTAATAATTAGTAGATATACGAGTATAACACCCCAACAGTATTTATTATCATTAACAAATAATTTTTTTATGTAATAATAAATTGTATGAATCGTGATTTATAACTATAAACGTGAAAAAAATTATTTTGCTGGAGGGTTAACAGTACCTAATTTAATGGGTACCTAGTTGTTACATATATTATATATGCATAAGAAATATTGTCGAGATAGGCCTAGTGTATTTGGACGAATTTACATAAAATCTGTTCCTATATATCTACCTACCTAAACTGTTTGAGTTAATTTTCGTTATACCACTAGGACTAGCTTCTACCTCGGGTCGTGTACCTAAAATTTTAGAGACAGCATTTTCCTTCTGAATAGACTCTTATAAATGCCAGTACCTATTGGAATATATTTGATTTTAAAGATACATTTTATTCGCTATACTTCAAAATTGAAACGCTTTACAATATTATTAATTAATTAAATTAAAATAGCTAAAATGAAATAAAACACATATGGTAATAGGTATGGCACGACAACTAGAATTACTATTATATCATTACACAGAAGCTGTGTGGCATAGATAGGTACGTATTATAGGCATCAACCACTCGTTGAAGCACAAAACCTTAAGTGAAGTTTCAAACGAGTTGGTAACGCGATGATATCCGTTAATCCCATTACGACTATAATAAATACTGAAAAATCGGGAGTATGTGATTGGTTAATATTATAAAAAAAAAGTCTATTCTGTTCACTAGAACGGTTGTGTGCTTCAAACCAGGAACCAATTCGGGATACCATTTTTGTGTAAAAAAAAACCTTTTAACCATAACCATTGCTGCCGGATTCGCCCAGACGACTTGCAGGGCCCGTCGAAACGCTTGTCCTCTATTTGTTCGTCTAAACCCATCAGCTGTACACCCTAAATATTGCTTTGTAACCATTATACGACGACGGACGAACTCGACGTGGAAATAAGAGTTATAAATAATATTTTATTATTAACATGCTTTGTGTTATATAGAGACTTCTAAAAACCGAAACGTATCAAAGACCGCGACGAGGAACGAGCCCGTCCAACGTAACAATTTAAAAAAAAAAAAAATTGTTTACGACCGTCAGCACACGCGCAACACACGTTTTACACTCGGCTGCGATCGAACCGCTGACCGAGAGCATATTTTCTACGGCGGCTCACCAGGACGGACGAAAAAAAAACCGACAAAACAGAAACAATAGTAATAATTTTTCGATTTTTTTTTCTTTTCACACACAAACAATGTGTCGTCTCTCGAACAATCGAAACAAAAATAAAACACTGGCATTTTAGACGACTCGAGCCGCCGCCCACCGATTCATTACTATTATAATTTCAAATCCGTGCTGTGGTTGTAATTAATACGTCATATATATATTATGCGTATATACGACAATAATAATGTAATATTTTTAATAAGTTTGTGTTTGAAAAATATTATATTCGACGATGGTAATACGCAAGCAGGACTCGTAAGTGCGTGCGATTGCGAAAATATCAATCTCGCCTGCAAGTCGTAATAATATCGTATATAATCAATCTGTTTCGACGTAGAATATACCAAATGATTAAGTATGACATTATGATATTTTTGTTTTGTTTATTTCATTCGTATTTAAGCATTTATTTCTTCATATTATGAACTACCTACAGCTTTTGCCAAATTTCAGCAAAAAAGTATTTGCAAAAATTGAATAACAAACAGTGAAAAATTGCACTATATAATCAAAACACACTTAGTGTTGTATACTTGTATGTGGTAAGGGATTTCCATTAATCGTTCAACTAATTAACAACATTATATTGTAGTTTACTATTATTAATTATCACCGTACTACACCAGTACAACAGCCATTAATAGTGACACATTTATCGTGAAAATATTTTAACATGATACTAATTTTATTGATTTTAATACTATTTAATGCCGAAAATAATATTCTTACACACGAAAGTTGGTCGGTAATAATTTAATCTAATTGTAAGATATAAAGTCATGCATATTAATTATCCAATTGGTGGTGCATTTTATCAAGTATAGGTAATAATTTATTATGCTATAATAACAAGATGAATGGTGTGTTTTGTTTTTGTATTGTCATTTATGTATAACTCTGTTATTTACATTGTGAAAAATAATTTACAAAATCGTATTACAATTATATATAAATATATAGGTACCTCCTAACCTTATATAATAATTTAAATTTAAATTCTATTCTTAAGTAAAAAGGTGTGTATAAAATAAATAATATGTATAATTAATTAATTATCATTTTACTATGTATTAAATAATTATGTACAACAAAAAAAAAGATGAAATTACATGAGTGCAAAAAAAAAAGGATCAAGAAGCTTTTATAAAATACACTTATGAATATAAATATAAAATTAAAATAATTCAAAGCAAAACGAAAAAATGCAATATAATGCATTATAATAGTCGTTTTGGTAAAAAAATTATCAAAATATGTGCACGAACGGATATTGAAGGCGGACTTGAAGAAACAAATCTTCTAGTTTACTCGGATTTCGTATTATTTTTTCCAACTATAACTAAGCTCGATGGTATAAAATATGAGTAAAACGATATGATATGTAAACCTCAAAGAATGTCGATGATGATAATGATAATAATAATAATAATACGCGAGCGAGATAGAGTGAAGGAGGCATAATTATAGATAAAACAGACATTTGACGAGAGTGATATTTAAAAAAAAAATGTGTCAAAAAATCGTATCTGTCACGACGCAATGGGCGCATCAGTATATTAATATAAATTAATTCTAAATCGACGTTTAATAAGATATACTATTTTAATAGGATTGTATATAACATGATATACAGTAGAAACCATCATAATTTATAATTACATTGAATCGTAGTGGTGGGAGGGGTTGGGGGTGTCGGGAAAAAGACTTAGACGGCGGTGGTGTTACCCGACCACACATACCTACGCATGCGCACCTACCAGTAACCAACGTGATAATATCTCGGATTTGTGATCGAACCACTTGGCAATTTGTCGCCAACCGATCGATCGATATGCGTATTTAGCGCTTGTTATATAATATAATAATAATTATGCAATTGATCGTTTAGAGCAATAATATATTGCTGGATGATAATATTATTATTATTATAACAGTAAAATATAATAACCATTCAATCTATACTATAGATGTCTCGCTGAGTCGGGAAGACGATCATAATAATAGTATAATAATAATGTTATATATGCCATATCGTCTTTCGAATAATAAAACAGAATAATAATATTATAATATTTTATGGTATGATACTTCGGGACTGATGATATAATATATGGACGACGGTGTACACGTAATATTATAAATAATTAGCAAATTATAAATATATGAAATTCTTAACAACTAATTGGTCGTTGAAAAAAAACCGTGTTTCGTACATTATTATATTAAGACTAGTAGTGTGCGACAAGTCGTCCGACTCTTAAAAAAAAATAATAATAATAATAATAATAAAGAGTTGGAGAAAAATAATAATCATATAGGGTATACCACTCGTATACAATGAAATAATAATAATAATAATAATATGATTTAGTTTCGTTTGCAGGTGGGCGCCGTCCCGCCCTGTCACTCGGTGCTGTCAGTCGCGCAACCGCAACCGCATTCGGTCACCACCGGGTACTCCACCTTGATCCACTGGCACACCTTTATCTGGTTGACCACCGACCCCGTCGACTTCGCGCCAGGCAGACTGTTGTACTGCTGCAGTACGGCCGACGCGCCATTAGGGCTGCGACAGTGCCACCGCAACAGTGTCTTGTACTGGCTGCTAGTGGCTCGGCAGTACATGCCCGCGGGCACCGAGCACGACGTCTCGCCCTTGGGACAGTGACCCTCGAGCAGCCACCTCGGCCAGAACCGCTGGCCCAGGTCCTTCCACTGTCTGTGCATCGGGCACGCCGTACGGCCCCAGAGGTACTGCTGGATCTTCCGGCGCAGTTGACCGGTTATCCGGGTCCGGAGCCGTCGGCCGTCCGAAAGCGAGAAGTACTTGGTGTCCAGCTCCCGGATCTCAGTCGGCATCTTGCCGGTGGGCACCAATCGGCCGCGTCGATTCCTCCTGCGCAACACACGGATGACAAAAACAGGGCGTTAGTATTATCGTTAAATTTCGTTAGTATAATTATAGATACCTACAACAATAACAAGTGCATATCGAATGAAAATCACTTATTTAAAAAACGTAAATATAATATAACTCTTTATAAACTTAGACAGATACCTGCCTTTATTTCTATATTATGTAGTAATTGTTATAACGTAGTGACATAAATAATGAGTACAAAACATTTATTAGAAACTAATAAAGAATAATCATTTTCTAATCCTAAATCAAAGCTCCATCAAAAAATTACCTTATTTCTGCTTTGATCGCTTTAGTTTGGCAGTTTATTTGACAAGAATTATTATATTAGCTTGGACAACTCTCTGTTTTAATCATGTTATTTATACTATTTTCAGAATCTAGATAATTTGAAATAATATCTCTTTTAATGTGTGGAATTGACATAATATTATTAGGAAATATATTCATACTACCTATATAGTATATAGTAATAATATTATACCAAAGTGTTTTAATTATTTTCATCCCGAAAATCATATGGAAAGTATAGTAAAAAGGCCACCTTTAAAATGTATTAATAAAACAAAAATCGTTGGTTGACGTTTTGAAAACAAAAACAATAATTTAAAGAAATACCTCATAATATAATATAGGTACTTATACCATGATATCTTTTGATTATACATTGTGAAAATATTGTTAAGACTATAACAACTTATAAATTATAGTAAGTACCTTTTCAGTAATTACTAGAATTATTATACTTGGCAGTACTGCTGCAAAAAATCATATACATTATGTATCTTTAAACGTCAATAAATAAATTATTGTTATTACATAATATTGGCGTTATCAGCTGTGTATTTCATGAAAATACAACACTCCTAATAATTTTTATAAATTAATATTTTATTTGATACAGAACACGTCTTACAAACCTTTATAATAACTATTTAGTATATCATTATGTTGTATGTATACTTAACACCATGTTGTATACGTGTATGAGTTGTTAATCGTTTTGAATTAGCAGCTACACAATATAGGTACAATATATTACGTGAAATTATACGTTTGAATAATAATTGATTCGCTAATTTAAAGGTTGTAGGTATATAACCCGTGAAATTAACATAACGTGTTCTATATATAATATTATACCTACTGTTCGAATCGTAAATAAATCGTGTTTTTTCGTGTTTAGTTTTGTTTACGCGTTTCGGTTACAATTATAATTTAAGTACATATACGTCCCTAAGCTGGGTTTGAGAATAAATTCCTTGTTATTCGTACGAACTATAATAATATTATCTATATTATTCTACGTTATATTGAGGAGTTATAGCTTACAAGCTACCTGTCCAAAACTCGATCTTTATGTACGATATAAACAAATAATTTTCACTGGAATATGTAATATTAAAAACGCATGTTGCAGTCATTAAAAAAGTAAAAAATGTAATGTTTTTAGAAAAATGTTCTATTTAAAAACTTAAATTAAAAATTAAAAATAATATCAACGATTTTGAAATAATGAGTGCCTTCTGTTGGATCACTCGTTGTATGTACATAATATATATAAATAAATATATTGATCTGCTACCTAAACTCAGTTGTATAAACTCTGCAATTATACATAGTTTGTTTTACATTAACATGTGTATCATGTATTATAGAGGAATCGTCGTCGAAAATAATATATTTTTCTCGAATACAGAATAATATTACAAGCAACAAAATTAAATTAAATGTTTTGTGACTGATTTTTTTGCGCTGGGAGAACAATAATTTGCTGAAATACGTCTTTGGAAGATGTGGCGTCTATACTCAAAACATTATTTACCAATACATCCTCATTACAGAATATTATAACTATGTTATAATTATTATTTGACGATTGAAAGTTGAAAACCTGCACGATTATTACTATTAAATTCAACAATCATCACTCTCACCTGAAGGGTATTTCGGAGACGGGCACCAGGTGTTCAGGGGCTGTCAGGCTCATGCAATTGGGGTCGAACTTGGCGGCCAGCTTGGCCAACAGCGCCGTGGAGTTTATGTCGGAGGGCCTGGGGTCCAGTGCCGGGTTGGGCATCTCGATGAGATCAATGACTCCAGGGTCGTTGGATGGCACTGGTCGTAAAGGTAAGTGGTCCAGCCGGATGGACGAGCACATGACTGTGTGGAGCATCGAGCAACACGCCAGCGCGACCAACACGGACAACCATTTGCCAGTCATCTGTAAACAATCAAAAAAAAAAAAAAAATGAAATGTGTGTGTTTGACATCGCACAGACGAGTGAATAACCGAGATGATCGTTGGTATTATTGGGTGCTATATTATTTTTATTTTATCGTGGTCCACGATAATGAGGGGTGCCAAAATTATAGTCTGCTGCGTGTTCAACTACCGCTTCGTTGTATACCTTTCATTTTATACCTATACCAAACCACAAGAATGGTGTACCGAATACCAGCTGGTACACGGATACGAGGTAACATTTAAAAAAAAACGGTTCTACTGTAAAACGACCGTTCTATATGTTGTCCATTCGAAAAAAAAAACATTGCATTTTTACAATACGCATTGTGATGTTAAAATTACAATTTTGTACGACACTCTGGAGACTTCACCTGCTTGATGTTGTAACTTTACGAAAAAAATAATTATGAAATCCTTTGCTGTCACTAATTAGAATCAGGATATAAACATATTTCATTATTTACAACGTTTATAAGACGTATATCACGGTATGCTACTCTATTGGAGACGGAATGACTGTATACTGCAGGATTTACACCGAAAAACAACGAAAAATTGTTTTATACTTGCCGATAAGATTAACTTCAAATTATAGTACATATATATAACCTACTGGCCACTACGTATGTACGTAGATAATCTGATAACCAACTATCCTCATTCCCGCTATATTTACACTTAATATAATAAATTGTTGTCCATTAAATAACGCAATGCATTACAGGTAGGTAATAATTAAAATGTGTAGGCGACACATACAAATATAATCATTTATAGCACGTGAGCATATAATATAGATAATCTGTTACTAATATTATCATTGTACCACTCGGTTTCATAAATACGCAATCTACTTTTCCGTATAAACACAGGTCCAAAAATATATTATTATAATCCGCTACATCGGAGTTCGATATAAAATAGGGATATTCTTAGAATTTAAAAATAAAATCTCGTCTTGGCTACTGCATCAACAAAATACAGAGTGATTCACCCAAAAGCAGGATCCACCCATTTTTTCCATAAAAATTACATTTAAAGTGGAACTTCGATAAGTCGAAAATCAAGGGAAATTTAATTGTTTTGACTCGTCGAGGTTTTCGACTTACTAATGTTATGTTAGGTTATATAATTATATTAGGCAAGGGAACGGAATTTATTTCGAATTATTATAGTTTTTTACTTATCAAGGTTCCTGCATTGTATTCAAATTCCTATTTTTAAAATTTTTAAATATACTTAAGGGACTTTTTTAAAATAATGATGAATCTAAATGAAAATGTTGAGAACTATGTGAACTAACTCTGTGTACCAATGATATAATTATAGGTTCGCGATAAAAGTGTTGGATGATCTAAAAATTATATTAATTAATATTTATATTATATTCAAGTTTTATTATTTATGAAAATGGCTCGGCCATAATTAATATTAAATCTATTTTATAAGTCATAGTAAAAATGTTATATTATGCAATTTTTAAGACTACCTATAACTAATATACTCTTAGGATATACATTGTAATAACTCAGAAACTACTCAGTCAAATTTTGATTCATCAGTATTTTCAAAAAATTGGCTCGTTGGTTCTTGTTTAAAAATAATAGTTCATGGAAACACTGGAAACTTCTTGAAATATTGTATAAAAGTCTTAGTATTTTAAAATATTGTCCAAGTAAGTATATACTTAAAAACCAGAATTTGAAGAAACTGATTATTGAAGAAAATAATGGGTGTTGACTTACTTGGTAAAAATTTCAAAATTAATATACCTAAATCGTGTTTCACGTCAATTTTTAATAGTTTCCGCATTTATCCAAAAAGTTCTGAAATTCGAACAATAACCTCTCAAAAGTATCATATAAATAAAGTAGATAATCAAATTTTCTCTCCTAGCAAATAGTACCGAAGGAATTAAGTCTTCTAGACAAAATGTTGTTCTCAGAAAAAAAAAAAAAATAAATAAATATCATTGTTAAACGAATTAGTTACCTCTCGCCGCTCAGAATCAAATAATGTCAAATACATGTACCTAAACTGTCCATTAGAGATATTATTTTCAATTTTTTTTTAGATATAGGTAAATAAGATAATAATATATTATTCTATTTTTAGAAAATACCTACGTTTGGTGTAAAATATACGAAAATAAGAAAAAAGTTATTACATTTTATTACTTTACGTGATAAACATTACAAATAACGCAAAAAATTGAATCTTTCTGTACACCATGAGCGATACATACCAGTGCATAATATTATAAGCACTGATATCGGTTTTATTATAATTTGTAATCAATTTGTTCTAAAAATACCAACGATAATATTTTCGGAACAACAATAATATGGACATTCATGTAAGTTTACACGAACTGTTGGTGGATAAAACTTAGAAATACAAGACAATACGTGTTAATAGAAAAGATCGAAAAAAATTGATATCATTTTACTCAACATTTTATGTATATATACATAATACATATTATATAGTATCCACATTATACCTACCTAAAAATTATACTACCTACATAAATCAAGGTTCCAGAAGGAGTAAAAAAAAAATTAGCTGTTAGCTGATAGGGGCCGATAAGGGGCAACTTACGTTTAAATATAATTAAATTTCAGTAGGTACCAGAGAAGCTAAAAAAAACAACGCTACTAAGATAATTGGTCACGCACTTCTGATTAGTTGGTTTCAAAATATGTGTTATTTTCGTCTAATATTTCATTTTTTTAAAGCCGAAATCCTCCAATCTCAAATAAATGAATATTATGTAGGTACTGTACTTGAGCCCTGCTATTTATAGACGTTTAAAATAATAAATAAATACATATAGGACATAGGTAGTCATTAAAATTGATCGATCAAAATTTCATAATTAGTTTGAAGGCCACCATCCCCCACCCGGACATGGCAGATACCTACAAGTGCCCACTTGAAAATTCTACCAAACACAAGAACGTGTTCCTCCTCCTGTCCCAATAACCCTACAGCTAATAGCCTCAGTTTCCGGGCTTAAGAGTTAAGACCAATAAAAAAAAAATTTTGTTTGATTATATTATACTTAAATACTTTAATAAATATAACATCTGATTAATATTATGTATAACCATCATTCAGGACTATATTATGTATACCCGAGTGTACTTGGTATGCTTATAATTATTGTAGAAACTACGCTTAAAGATGTTATAATATTATATGCCACATACCTATAATATATTATATTGTTAGTAATAAATTTTCGTTAATATCTATTCACTCTTTGGAACGTCATCGCAATAAATAAATAAATATGGCACTTAAGTAGGCATAAGGGACAATTCCAAATCTCAGAATTCGAATAAAGAAATTTTTTTTTTTTGGGGGGGGGGGGGGGTGAGAAACTTAGAACACTTATGTTGAATTCTGCGATGAATTACTTAGTATAATATTATTTAATATATTATTATTATTATGTAGATTAACTGTTCTGAACCAATTGAACATAACACCACGATGTAGCTCTCGTTCTCAACACGCGAAGATTTTACGTCGTTTTGCACCGTACACGTTTCGTACATTGTATTTAAGTACCTAACTTCTCACATAACACACACGCATACACACACATTTATATACATAATATACTTGGGTATTGGGTGTATATACCTAGGCGTATTTATCCGAAACGGACGGACGGACCAACGTACTGGCCGGTCATATAATAATATTATTTGTGGAGTTTTGCCGCCGTCGAGAGCGTCTTTATTATTATTATTATTATTATTATTATTACTATTTTCTAAATCGCTGGTAATTTATTTCGAGTCACGTCGAAAAATAAAATTAAAACGGAAAAAAAATAGGAGAAAAAAACCCAAAGAAAAAGAAGAAGAAACCGGCCGACTGGATTCTTTGCCGGCACATTAACACCTCGGCTCGACGATCCGTTAACGATAATTCGTTCCGTCGGACCGAGTTCCCGCGCCGCCTTAGCCCGCGTGTCCCGTCCGGTTCGTATTTTTGTTTTTTTTTTATATTTTCCGTTTCGGATTCAACGCGTCAATCAACCGAAATCGTGTCCGAAAATCTCGGAGCCGACAAAAGGACTGCACGGCGTCCGTACACACACCACGCCGTTTGGCCTCGGCCCCACGCCGACGACGACTACGACGACGACGACCACCGCCACGCAGCCTCCGCCAACGCCGCCGTAATAATACGATATTATATTATTATTATTATTACACATTGTACTCGACGGCGACGACCACTACCGCGGTATAGTGTTGCGCCGGTAAACCCCGTTCCAGTCGCCTTCGGAGGCGTCATTTTCCCTCCTCTTCGTTCTCCTCAACCACATGCTGCTAACCACCGACCGTGCGGTGGATTTTTTTTGTTTGTGACTATATAATATAATATATCCGATTCCGTCTTACGGCGGAAACACGACACCCCGCAGTATATAACACTCATCAGAAATCGGACTTCGGTCCCAGATTTGTGATAAAAACGATATTATAATATATTATAATGATTGCAGTATCTGACTTTAATCTCCACTCGTCCAGGCGCGATCGAATCCAAGATTTCGTATACTTGGCGACATAATATTTCAAACTCGACGACGTCCTACTATTAATTACTAATAATTTTTAGCGGACCCAAGAATGTAATGATTTTAAAATTAAAATTAAACAAAGCCGTCAATAAGGTAACCACTCTGCTGTTAAGGTAGCTAGTGTTGAGTACAGGCACTCCAATATAGTGTAATATGGATATTATGTTAAATTTGAATCCAATAATAAATCATTGTATATGATGAAAAATGATAGTGAGCTAAGACGGTCTAACTTTTTGGTTACCAAGTTTACCAAGCAATTATTAAATTTACTTTAATTTTATCTAATTTTCTTATTTTACTGAACATTTTCAATTTTGACGTGTAAATACAAACTAGATTCAATTTGCTACTATAAAAACCTCCGTCTCGA